ATGGCGGCACGTTGAAATTCGAGTTTGTCGTAGTCGTCGTTTCTAATTCATCCCAATGTGTAAAAAAGTAATTCGTACTAGTCGTAGAATTAAAAAAAAATCGGCTGCTGCAACCAGCCAACGTCTTCTCGGTCAGAGGTCAGTTGAAGAGACGTTGTGATTGGCTGAGATTGTCAATTACATCATTACTTGTTAATTACTACTTAACATAATTACCCGTTGAAAAATCGCCGGGTTCCTGCAGTGTCGATAGAGGGACATGCAGAATAAACCAGTCGGGGTGATTTCGCAGTTACACCTCCATTTCGCGAAATTTGTTATTTTATTTAATTTACATAAACAAATTAATCGCCCCGACTGCGCCAGCCTAGTGACGACCCTCCGCTTTGAAGAAATAGAGATATTAACCTTATAATTTGTACCGAATTTTGTCAGGTGATTTTATTATATAACCACTTACGCATAATAAGGCCTAGATACTTTACAACTACGAGGACGGACGACCGACATCGAAAACAATTTCAGCCAGCCACACGCCCAGGGTCAATTCTCCGATGCGGAATATACTAGTATGGGTGTATCTGCACAACACCACGCCCTCACAGTCGTCAATACATATGTAGAACCTGTGTCATATCCAATCATTCAGCTATATTTCACCCACCGGCAACGAATTAGAGTAATTCATGAATCAATGATTCGCGAATCACGATTCAAAAAATCCACAATAAAACACATGTCATGGACACTAGTGAATATATTTGTAAATACTTATTTAATTAATATTTGCGTTGGTGTTGTATCGTGACTTTAATTTAATAAATTATTGAAATTAATTTATTTCACTGGGATAATGAGTATTGTGATGTTAATATTCAATTGCATTGTGTGAGGTTACAACCATCTGTGTGAGCTTTTGGCGTGACTACCCGTTCATCATCAGGAAACACCTGTGCTATTTATCATTACATTATACATTTTCACGGCAGTAGAACAGGATTGCGGAAATGTTTCGTCATTTTGACTGTGCCACTGGTAAATAATTATTACAATAACAACCAACTATTATTATTCGTGATTCACGTATAGCCTAAGATTCGTTGATTCGTGAATGATTGTCACTCGCCGACAACAGCACATCAGTAACAATTTATCGCAATATAAAACAGTATGGTGTTGCAGCCATTTTGATCACATAACATACTGACGTGACCAATCCACGTGGGAATATATGGTTGAGAGGGTGACGATAATCAAACACTGCAGCGATGTCAACAAAGTGGTGGGGAGACTCCCATTGTTGTAGCAGACCGGTAGCGCCTATTTTGAACCCCCTTATTCACGGTCGAGTCTAGTTTTTTTACCCTAAATTTCAAGATTTTCGGTTATTTTAGCAAACTTTAGGTAATTTGTTATTAAAAACGCCAAGCTTTGAGCGATGGGACGCCCTCAATGTCGATTATTTCCCCAACTGGTTGCGGAGCACTTCCCCCCAAAAAATCCAGGTGAGTAATCTTCAAAAACGAAGTAAACACACAATATTAGCTGCTAATAAAATTTATCTCAGTGGACGTGCTTGAGCATTAGTGAACATAATACGCTATTCCTATAGGTCGCGCCATCTAGTGACGAAAGGCTTCTATGACGTAGGCGGGTGAGACTAAGGCCATTCAAAGCGCCGATTTCATTCCGATCATTTAGTCGTTCATCAATGGAGATTACAATTTTGTCAGATTTTACTATATTTTCTAGATAACGAACGACTACACAACCCGTGTACGCCATTATAACAACACAGAAGGGTTCCATCACTAGAGGGCGCGATGTATAGGAATGATTGTCGTACGAACTTTCCAACCACAAAAATATATGATGATAGAAGCTTTTGGGGGAAAGAAGTAATTTTCCACTACAGTTACATAGCGATCAAGTAAGATTTTTCAAATAATGCTATCAATGACATGTGACGACTGCAGGGTATTCTAGAATCGAATGGTATTACTAGAGGTATAAATAAACAGACACTTAGTAGGTGAAGTGTCTCATTTGAAACCGTGACGTCCGCATACAGATGGATACTTGTTTTCAGCCTTTATTTATTATGTAGAACAAATGCATCTATGTAAATACTGTCTTAATTAATTAATTCTACTGAAATTGCGAGTTTTAAACACAAAATGTCAACAATGGTGTTTCTTATTCTTACATGGCGACCAATTACTGGTTGAATGCTGTGTCAAAAATATATTTGTTATTTAACAAGAATGGAATAATCCACAAATCATCTGCATATAAAATGTCAATGCAATCCGGGTATGTCGAAAATGAAATAGGATTGTTGAAACATAATGAAATACAGCGATATTTGAAAACAAATTACACCCATTCCAAACATCAAACCAATCAAGAAACAGAAACTCTACATGATTGAATATAATATTTGAATTCATATATTTGATTAAAATTTAAAAAGTAGAAATGTTGTATCATATTCTCTCTCTTTAGTTAACTTATAAATGACGTTGGTGTCGTTTGACTGCTGGTAAACATATCGCTCCAATCCTGCAGCGAGTTTCAGGAATCAACTTATGGAGACAATTCTATGTCTGTTACGTAATTGTTGCCCGCCATGTGCTATTGCATTACTATATATTTAATCTTGTAATATTAAATTATGCTTATTTAGATATTTGTTCAGTTGTGTTACTTTGTTTGACCATTTTATATAGTTTTGTTCACATATGGTCACATAGTACCCTTGTTGAAATAGAGATAAAACTACTAAAGACATCTACAAGAGCATTACATACACTCCTCATTAGTTTTGTCACGTTTGTTTGAAGGCTGATTTTAAATGTCTTTGAACATTCAGGCGTTAAAAAAACAATGTCACACCCAAAACAATAATTATTACAGGTTTGGTATTTTGGGCACCCGATCTTTTGCTTTGATTGTGAAATTCGAAAGACGAATGTAAAATCAGCTTCTCCTGGCCATGAATGAATTTATTTAGAGATAATGCTTCTAAAGCATTGAGTTATTTCAGAAAATAATGCATGACACAACCTACTTATAAAAAACACACAACTATAATTGTTCTTTATAAGCTTCATTTACAAGTCCGCTAGCTGTTGGATGAATGTCTTTATCGAAGCCATCGACGGTGTTTAGTACATCTTCAGCAACATTAATGTCTACTTGAACACTAACGGATCGTACACTTCCTTTAGCCGTTTCGCGCTTCTCTTCCTTATATGATTTCCTGTAACGATCATCGAACGAAAAAATAAATCAATGACGTAATCGAATAATTTCATATCACAAAATTTAACTAAAAATAAAGTATGTCGTTGAACTAACTTACTTTCCGAATGTTCTCCCGTCCTCAATCGTCTCTGGAAGTCTGTGGTTGCGTGTTTCTGGAAGGAAAAGCGCAAGAAAACCAGCCACAACAGAGGTTGCCCCCATGATAATATACGGCATTGGCTCCCACACATCAGCCAGTAGAAAGACGTAAGGTGATATAATACTGCCAACACGTGCACACATCGACGATACTCCCGTTCCCGCATTCCTTATGCAAATAATAGAAAAATATTAATATACTACATTTTCATATTCATTTCTCTGTATATATTGTCGAGCTCGCGGACGTATGGAATACTATTTCTAAAATCATAGCTATCGAGTTCTTACCTAACTGTAGTTGGATAGAGTTCAAGAGCATACACGTAAACAATGGTGAACGTTCCTGCAATACACATCTTTGCTATCATAGCAAGGGTTACAGAAACATTAACATTTTCTACAACAAAACAAAAAAAGAGAAAATTTGCAGAGCACTAATTCTTAGAGAAATCGACAATCTCTTGAACATGGAAAGCTGTGTCCTTGTACAGTTTCTTTTGGTATTTGATACCGCCACATTATGTGTCAATTAATACTACAGAGAATCACGTGAGGCGGAGTGTGTAATTAGTCAGCATTTTATCACATAGAACAACTAATATTTATATGTTGATGTTTATGTAGACTGTTGGTCTTCATATGAATTCAGTAGTGTGGTATTTACAATCAGCATACAGACATTGTCAAGTGGAAATTTGCAAAAATAACAAATGGTCAGATCAACATGACCAAGTGAGATATAAATCATAAATTATTCTTTTACCTGGTGGTACACTTATTATCAAGCATAGACCACCAATAACGGCCGTGCTACACAAAGCCCATCTTCGACCGACAGTTCTCATTAACCACCAACCAAGAAAACGTCCCGGAATTTCAACAGCTCCTGCGATTACAAATGTGATATACGGGTTTTCACCAATCTGGTCTGTATTCAGTGAGATTCCATAATAGACAAAACTGCACGAAAACCTACAACAAAGAAAAAATTACGAGTGCAGTAACTTTTCAAAATCAACATACCATTACCACTACCATCGTTCTATGCACTCATAAATTGTCAGCATGTACAATATGAGTGACGTAATGCACGCCGCCTACTCACCAGTTGAAAGACATCAAAACTGCACTGATCCGCAAATTCGGAGTTTTAAAAATATCAACAGCTGTATATTTTTTGGGCTGTAAAATTGAAAGCGTTTAAGTGTATTATTTACACGAGTTGTTGGGGCAAACTTCACTTCTACCGTTGTAAAATGATCGGTATAACACACAACATATGCAAAAATGATTGATATAGAACAGACAAATCACTTAATTATGCAGTCGAGATATACACTGAACAAACAATCATACTAAAATATTTGATTGTAGAATGTTTCTACCCTACCTTTTCCTCAATTTCTTCACCCTTTTTTATCTTCTCTGCCATCTTCTTTTCATCTTTGAACAAATTGTCTGGTACTTTTGTTTTGTTCATTTTAGCCCATTTATTCAGCACTTTCGTCGCTTTAGCATACTTCGATTTTTGTATAAGCCACATTGCTGACTCGGTAACTAACCTAAAATCAATTTGATACTAGTTTTGTTACTTGATAGTGACTTAATTTCAGAATTTTTATTGATTTCATTTAACTCGTACGGATTTGGTTTTGATATAGAACTCGTGACAACGCCAAATTTCTGTAAATTTCTCCAGAAAATACAACTGTTGACTTGTTTTGAAGAACATTTCACTGTTTATAACTCCTGGCGCATGACGCTAGTGATTGGCATACAGCAGACAAGTTGCACCAGCAGACAAGAAAATAGCCCAATACTAAAATAATCATAGTTTGTTGTTATTGCACCCCATTCTTATCTCACTTCTATTCAACAGTAATCGTAAAATACGGCAACTTTATATGCCATATTGTGAACTTGAACACCACTGTTAGCAAAGATTACCACTCCTAAATGTTTGGAGGGAGGGGAAAACGTATTTTTCCCAACGCCAATGTTCGTTCAATGTTGGTACTGTCCCTGATAACATGATTTGATATATATTATAGATATGGTGTCACTATCAGTATATACATTGATAACGTTTACAAATCGTGCCACTTATCAAATACTAGACTTTGCAGTCTGAAATCAACTTACCAAATAGAGGGAAGAAAAAGTATCCAGACGAGACCTGAAAACAGTTGAATTTTGCGCCAATTTCCAGACAAGCCATATGCAATAATGCCAAATAACATGTAGAACACACTGAATGAAACATGGATAAGAGAAGAGAGTATTGTTCTGTATTTGAACCCAATCATTTCCATTACTGAAACGAGAAATGAACTTGATTAACTTTATTTTCCAACAGGCCTGGATGTTTGATCTGTAAGAATAATCTTTATAATAGAACGATGCATTATTAATGATTGTGTTAACTTACCTATCACATTTCCAGTGACATACACACTATGTGCAAATGCTCCAAGAAGAAACTGGCATACGACAAAAAAATAATATGTTGGTGAGAATGCCGCTGCAATGGCCACCACTATCGGTGACAACAAACATATATCATATACTATTTTCCTTCCATATCTGCAATAGAGAAAACGGGTAATCACTATATAAGATTTTGTATGTATACATATACAATGTTAAATTGTATGTATTCTTGGAAATTAAGTCTTGCAATCAAGGACAAACTTCTGGCTTATAGTTAGTTAAGTTTTCCCCCAGAATTCCACACCTGAAGCTTGAAAACATGGCTGCTCTTCCTTGGTTAGGGACTCGTCATAGGTGACACTGTAATATCAGAATTCAAGCCTATGATGACTTGTGGATAGGGTACGGTGTGGTAGTGTTGACAAAGGATAACAATGGTGTGACTTGTGGTGTCTGTGAAGACCAGATACACCAATCACTGTCTAAGTGCTAAAGGGTACAACACTCTCCTTCAATAGACCATTTTCCGTTCACTGCGAGAATCACGCGTTATGTGTGAAATCGAACGTAAAAACAGGACAAACAAAGGTCATAGCGTCGTAGTGGCGTCAAACATCGCGTGGGATTCGATAAACGCGAAAATATTTTGGGGGCATTTCCATGCTTAATAATGTGCTGTATACATTTGATGATAGACAATTTCGATTAAGTGAGGGTATTCGGAAGCAATATTCCTCTGTCAAAGATCGGTCGGTCAATGTAAGCTACGAAATAAGAGAAATTCTAGTTCAAAATCAAATCGTTCGATTTTTGCGGCAGACGTTCGACGCGCGTCTTTCATGCATCTCGCGAGATCTCACAATTGTACGGAAAATCACCTATTACAGTCTGAGTCTCTTGCTAGCAAGACCCCCTCCAAGCAGCAGTTCCTGGATGAAGCTGGCATGAATTTGACGCTGACGTCAAGGGTACCTTACTTATCCTGGAACTGTCATCTGTTAGTTGAAATAGTCAATTAGCCTATGTTGAACAGCACTGTAATCACCAACTTGACGCAGTCCATCATTGACAAATTTACCCATGACATCTCTACCATATCAGAAAATAATCTACTAGCAAGGGAAAGCATCACAAGCATTTTTCTGACGACAACCAGTTGTCAAGGGCTTTGAAAGTACATGCTGTCCACTCAATGTTGGCCGAGCAGAATTTTCACTGGTGTTTAAGTACATGTAGTTCCAACTCCAACTCACTGATTTCAGCGGCGAGTATAATGGCATTGAGTTTTATCCAGTTTACCCCTCCTTACCCTTGAAGGCAACAATGTACTACATGTTTGCCATACCTTTCTCTATCTTCATGAACACCACATCACATTGCGGGTATCATTTGTCCAAACTAAGAATTTGTCCAAACTAAGCATTAGTGTACAAGTCTAAAGCACTGAGAGACAAGCTATGGCTAAAGCCCCACTAACCGCTTCATCCCAGATTGACCTTTGTGCTCACAAACTTTTCAATGGAAGACATATATTCCTGAGATTCTAAATTTATACACAGAGGGAAACCTTGGCCCGTCACTGCTCCTCTGTAGTTGGCACAGTCTAAAGTTTATCAGAACTATAATGCTAATGACACTAGTAAGTAAACAGGCTGATAGCTCAAAGGTTCTGAATAATTCTAACATATTAATGGAAAAAGTGAGGGGCGTAGTAATCATGTTTCTGGAACACCAACTTACTGGCTTCAGTCATCCATTACATTCCTACTACATTGTTAGAATATTCCTCACTGTTACCCAACAAACCTGTAGTTGACAATGTAGCTAGTTGATTTGTGTCCCCTAAACTGTGGGCTAGACCCAGCTACCTCGCTATAGATCGTAACATTCCCTTTTGAGGCACCCTAGCAATCCGTTTCTAGGGACGAGAACCCGAGGTATATGCGTCACGGGCAACCTTTTTCTGCCTTACCACGTGATGTAAACACCATTTCATAGTTTCATAAGTTACAGGTTCTCTGTTTGTCGTAAGTGAGTTCCCCTTGACATGGTCAACATGGTTAGGCGGGTTGGGGATTTAGTGTTGACAGTACTGTCAAAGAGTACAGCAGACTAATGAATGAATATATTACTTACATGTCTGAGATTTGACCAAATATAATTACACCAACTAGATTTCCAAGCGGCACGATGGATTTGGAAAGCTGCTTCATCCAGTCCCTATCACACACTAAATCGAACTGTAACATAACCATATATTACAATTGTAACTTTTAACTTAGTACTGTGACTGTGTTACAAGAATTAGAAATGAAACGACTGCAGGCAATGTTGACGTTAATGCCTAGTAACCATGTTGATATGACTCTGGCAGTGAAGAATGAAATTGTAAAAAGTGTATTTTCCAGAAACTGGGTGAATACATTATTGTGAGTATCTCCCATATGACGCAAAAAGCTAAGTTCTGTTCAATTTTCATTGTTGCCAAATTGTGGCAAAACAATAACAGAAACTGATGGGTAGTTGCAGTGCACCCCATTCAATAACACCCAGTATGTTTTGTGTACAAAATGCCACCACACACGTGACTTGCAATATCAGGTATGCCAGTGATTCGACAGAAATGCAGGTACACACACCCTAGGCTACGCCACATAAATATAGTTTGAAAAGGATATGAACATTTCAAAGGCTAGTGATTAAAGACGGGAAGCCTTTACTCAAAAATTCTGATCTACATAGAGGTATTAAATGGTAGTTCTCGACTAAAACCACTACTGTATTGTTCAACCTATAACATATTGTGACATAAATTGTAAGTACACAGCTCTGGCTGTGTGAATGAAAGCGCACATGTTTGGATACTTTGCAACAACCCATTGCACATGTTTATTTTTAAGACTGCTGATACAGTCACAGGATTGTGTTATCAGCAGAATTTGAGATACATACATCCTGTCTCTCCCTGTGGCATAATGATATGTCTCATACAGAGGCATGGTAATTGGGAAATACCTTGGAATGTGCTGAGCCCAGTGTTATTGGCAATGAAAATAGATATGACATCATTGACCCGAGTCTTCTACTTTAAATTGGTAGAGCTTGGATAAAAAGTGTTCTATTCCACTACTAAAATGGACATTCTTGATACACTGATTGGTCTGTTATTTCGAGATAGCCAATCATTTCTTTAGACACATTTTATTATTAGCATGGCCATAAATTAGCTAGAGTATTTAAGTTGAGGCAAGTGTGAAAATCTTTAGCCAGGAAGGTGACCTGACTTGATCCTGTAACATCGTGTGATGCTGATTCCTGACTCCAGTGAGTTGTACCCTATACAGGGGTACAGATGCAGACGTGCTGTGCAGTAATTCCTGCTAATCAACAGGAACCACTGAAGCTCACTGCCTGAACTACCCCCGTTGTACCAGTGGTAGCAGATAGCAGTGCAGTTGCCGATACTCACTGGACACAGAGCACAAGTTTAAATTGTAGTGCAGCTGCTTCGACAGTGTGCCAGATACGAAGGAATGCAACATTGCACCTTGCTGTCCATTGGAGAGTGGAGTGTTCCCTGCAGCATCGATCAAGTCTCTAATTTTATTTCTTTACTGTGTATCCCCTATCCTTGCTGGTTCCAGTGACCAGCATCCCTGTTATTTGTTTATTAAAGTACAGGAAACCGTATATATTGTGTTGTGTTGATTTGTTATAATCGTTACTGGTATATTTCTTTCTCTGCACAGCCTCAGTTGTGGTGATATACATTCACCAAACGACCCCCATCCTGTGACAGCGGACAAGCTGAGAGGGAGGAGACTTATAAGACAAGCAAGCCACCAGTGACAAAGATTATCAGACGACATTAAAGACAAGCTCCCCGCTCCAGCGTAGCCCCACAACCTCCCCCGCATTTAACGTCACATTGGTGGTAGCGGTGGGATACTACTGGTGCAGAGGAGGTGAACCAGAGAAAGCAGATCATGGTGACTCCTGTTACAGATATGGCAGAGCAGATTCCAGTATAGAGTATCCAGATTGAACCAGTAGCTGATATAAAGCAAAGAGATGATCAGCAAATAAAGTTTGCACAGGTAGCAGCTGACGATACTGCGGAGCTGAAAGATCCAGTGGAGATTGAAAAAGAGGGGGTTGTGCAGCCAGTGGGTAAAGCAGAGGAGCTGCCACCACAGGTGACACCAACCTCTGGCTATGGGACCCAAGAAATGAGTAAAGCTGAATTGTTGACTGGCAGTAGAGTTACATCGGGAAAGCGGAGTAAGCCAGAAGTAGCAGAGAAAACAGATATACCATGGAGGCTGGATACAGCCACACCACAGTATCGAACAGCATTAAGAGGGAGACCAGCTGACAGAGCAGATGACTTATGGCTTGGGTACCCCCGGGCACAATCAACTGGCAGACGTGACAAACCCCACCTCAGATTTATTTGAGGAGGTGAAGGAGGATCCAGAGCCTAGTTGGACAAACGCTGAGCAGAGAAAAAACACTGAAAGGAGAGAAGACTTTCCCACAGGTGGGCATGTGTCCTGTGACAAAGCCTAACAGAAATTCCAGTCACATTTTATGGGAAAATGCCTCGGAGAGATTACAAAGCCTATTTTGAGCAATGTGTACTTGTAAATGATTGGGATATGGCACATAAGTCCAGGTATTTGGCAGTGAGTTTATCCGGCTTAGCCAGAAAGTGCTGACCCAAGAAACAGATGGCGGAGAAATACCATACCAAGAGTTAGTCACAAGATTGGACAAGAGATTTGGTCTCGGTGGGCAAGCAGATACCTATGCGGCAGAACTGCGGTTTAGGCAGCGCAAGAAAGGTGAAAGTTTGCAAGAATTGGGGGGAGCTAGACGTGAATTAACAGAGATGGCCTACCCAGGTATGGACCCTGCTTCCC